AGAAGTTTCTTTTCTTTTAAGCAACCTCCTAAGTTCTACTTATGTTTGGGAGCGAGATTGGACTTTCTATTAATATCTTGTCAAATTTATAAAAAAAATATATATATTCATTTTCAGGGAGATTGATGATATTAGGAGAATTCCATTTCCATCTCCCATTAAGGTATAAAGATGTGCCTAGTTGAGTAGCCCCTTTTTTTCTTGACGGCTAATACTAATTTGATTTATAGCCATTAAAATGGAGAGATACTCACATTTTTCTGCCCGGCACTGAAGTGGATGCCAATGTAATTAAGAATATTGACAGAAAACAAATGGGGTCTGAAGCACATTAGACAAAAAACACTATTATGGTTTTCATAGCTGCTCCAAATGATGGTTTTCCCCTTTTTAATCTGCAGAATGGACTCAAAGCTTAAGATTATTACATTTGCATTATCAAGGGCACGTGTTGTTTCTTGAGATAATACCTCAACATTGAAGAGCAAATGGAGACAGCAGAAGAGTCATGTTGCTGTTAGCCAATCAGAGGAGAGAAGTTTGAATAAATTACCAGCTCAGTGGTCAAGTGGCATTAGTATCCACCCTGAGACTGGGAGATGGGTTCAAATAAAATAGAACAGACTTTAATAATCCCACAGTGGGGAAATTCACTTGCTACAGCAGCACACACACTTGCAGGAATGGAAGAAGAAAAATATTAACAAGATTATAGGTAAACACTCAAAGACAATAATCTATTATTGTAACCATCAACCACTAACAACAACAAAGAAACAGGAAACTTGTGTTTCCAGAACTATGCAGCATACTGTAAGGGACACAGACACACTATGTAAATCCAATATTACACAAGTAATAACCCTGGGTATGTATTCGGGAATCAGATGAATGAGATTGTGATCAGAGTGGCCAAACGACGAGAGGGGATGGAGGGAGGGTCATACCAAACACTTTAAAAATGGGGCTCAATGCCTTCCTGCTTGACACTCAGCTTTAAGGTGTTTGATGTGGGGGTTAAACCACCAAATAGTTCCAGAGCGCAGCCATGTCTGCAGCTCACCGCTCCCCCAGAGGATGGGTTAAACGTGGGGAAATTCTTTCACCAGTGTTTAACGACTAATGGGACTCGAAATCCTGCCATATTCTGCTCCCCACACCTCTGGTTAATGTCTACCTCCTGAAGCAGGAGCGCCAGAGCTTTTTTTTTTGACAAAGGTCGACTCACAGGGAATTCATTAATACTAGAGACCACTGCAAACATGTTGAAGAAGTGTAGGCCCATTTTAAATTAATATATATTCAGCAACAATATGAAATCAAAGTGGAGAAAATTAGAGAAGATCATTTAATTTTTTCTATTGTATTTAGACCTTTCCTTTAGAATAAGGATTGGAGATCATTCCATGTTTGCTGAGTCAGCTTTTTTTGGTTCTATGCCCTCGGGTATAAAACAATCCTTCAGCTTTAGCACTGATTTGTTCTTGAGTCTCCTGGAGATTTCAGGATGAGATGTATTGTTCTCTATTTGCCTTACACACACACATTCGCACACGCATGCACACACACACTTCTTTCTGTCAGGTCCTGGAAACCTTTTCATCAAAAATTCATGGGCTTCTTCTCAATGCCGCTAATGCATTTCATTCAGATGCTCTCCTTTAATGAGACAACAAGCCCTTTCTCTCTTCTGGGACTCGTTACACACAGAAACCAACACAAAAAATGAAAGCACAATCTTTAATCTAGAAGCATCTTATTTTATTTAAAATAGAAAAAACGTTTTCATTCATTTCCGCCGCTGGAGATTTTAATTTTGCTATGATCTTTGATCAGAGCTTGCAGTGATTGATGATGGTACTTTTTTGATCGTGGATCTGATTTAAATGCAACATTTAAATTAAAAGCTCGCTCAATAAATTTACAGCTCCTCTAATTAGCACTTATTCACACTTCTTAGACTGTAAAACAGCAGCAGGTGCTTCGCTTTACTAAATGATGATAAAAAGTGCTTTTTTTCTGAGTCACTGTGATGATTACCAAACTAATTTCAGCAATTCTCTGAATCACAAGAAGGAAAGAAAAAAATACACTGATTAACATTTGGGACAACTTTGTTGTGTTATTTTTTGAATGAAGTTTTAAACAGATGTTTGTAATTATGGCACAAAAGATAAAAAGATGCTACAAGATCCTGGATGAAGATAGATTATAGGGAGTTGGATTAAGGTGATAAAAATGAACATATAGGATATTCTTAAAGAGACCCTTCAGAACTCCCTGCAGTCTTTTTACAATGCACAGGAATATTTCTCCTAAATCTAAAATGGGATTATTGTTGCAACAGCACCCCCCCCCCCCCCCCCCCCCACCCCACCCCCCCGGTTTCATGTTGTCATATTCTAAGTAGGATTTCTTACAGTATTAATACATGTTATGCCTTTCTCTTTACTTATAGAGCAGGAGACAGAATCTTACTGATGGATGATTCCAACGATGACTGGTGGAAGGTGGGTGGTAAACAAGTACCTGCACCAATTAAATAAAGGAACTAATGTGCTGATGTGAGCTTAAAAAAGTCTGAAATTGATTAATAAACTGCAGGAAATGAGGCTTAAAATTATTGGAGGAAGATGCCGCCTCAGGATGTGATGCATTTCAGATAGATTAGGGAGACAAAGGAGCCGCGACTTGACTTTGCAAAGGTGGTTTGTTGTTATTAGAGCATGAAGAACTCATTAGACTTTTAACTTCTGCTCAGCTGCACTAACGGCTTGGGGAGGTTCAAACTTTAAAACCCAACAACTTAAGCAACCTATTACATTTGCATGAATGTAAATATGCTCTGAGCAAACATATAGTAATTAGAATATGTAATTTTAATGTGTTCTGCATGGATTTGTATGACTAAGCACTTTTTCCTGCCCATCACACGAGTTTTATTTCATTTTTAAGGGAATAATTGAGGACAGGATTGGTTACTTCCCAGCAGCCTTTGCTCAGCAGCTGGAGGACGGAGACCAGGTCTTCAGGTGCAACAGGACGTTCATCGGCTGTAAAGAACAGGGACAGATCACCCTGAAGGAGGGCCAGGTACTCCATTTGATAGCGACTGGATAACATGAATTAAGATGCCATTTTGGGGGTCTGTCACTGGTCTTTTGATTTTTTTTTGAGAAACTTGACGAACCAAACGGACTCATAAATATCGGAGGTGATGTTTGTTTGTCTGTGTGTGAAACCTCAGATTGGATTCAAGCGGAATCAGGAATAAAGGGAGGCTCTTTTGAGCGCAGCTGCTTGATAATTACTGGAGCTGCTGCAGGTTGTCGGCACTCACCCTCCATTAGAGCCAGTTTGGGTCAGAAGCTTTGGGGGTTGAGCGTAATTATATCTGAGTCTTCTTTTGTTCAAAACAATGACTAGATCTTCAGCTGCGCTTCTGTTTTTTTGCAGAATTTAATGACTCTTTTAAGCAGCTTTTAATTTAAGTGTTTGCTCAACATTAGTAGAATTGATCCTGAGAGTATGGCTGTGGTTTGGGGAGTTCACAACCCTCAACGTGAAAATGATCACATTACACCCGCGCTTAATTTCTAGTCACGACTCGGTCATTAGATCACATCAGGTTCACATAATTCAACAGCTCTTCAGCATCTGCCAAATCTTGTTAAAAGAGATCCTCTGAAGTTAACAGAATTGAAGTCCCTCTCATGAGTTACTGATAAATAACATTTTGGCACGATCACAGCTCTTTCCCCCTCTTCAGAGGGCATGCATCTAAAGAACGCGAACCCCCAGTGGAGGTGAAACCACCAGATGCAAGATGGATCCGTGACCTGCTGACTTTCTTTTCCATTCTCACTGGGAAGATGAACTGTTCTGACCCATTAAAGGGGCCAATAAACAGAACTTCCGTTAAATAAAAGTGCTAAAGGTTACCGGTACTCTATTTAAAGGGAACATATTAAGAAACTTTTTCATAAAATAAAAAAAAACATGTGTATAACGTTTTTGCACTCTCACATTAAGCAGTTTCAGCTGTTTTATTCGTGACAGTTTCAGTACCTTCCAGAATTAGACGTTTCAGGGCTCTGACGCTTTTAAAAACCAAACCCACCACTCAAGCTGCAATAAGCAAAGAAGCTCAGATACTCAGCAGGGACTCGTAATAGAGCTGCTTTTCCTCCGGCCTGGAGAGGTGGTTCTATATTAACTATTAATCTAATTAACTACTTAAGGTTTAAATTTTGTCTGCAATTGCGCTCCAAAAATATATTTTTGGCAGAAACCGAGCATACAAGTCCACGTTTTGCCATAGTAAAACCAGAATCCATTCATGAAAGTGATATGCCTGCTTTTGTATAGAGAGCAGCATATATGTAACAGTGTGAGCCAGGACCCGTAAAATGTCCCATGTGTTTTACATTTAAACCTTTCCTTCATTCTAACAAGACCAAATTAAATGTTTCGGTGTTTGTTTCAGCACAAAGTGGCAACACCGTTGTGCAGCAAAGCACATGAAGTAATTTAATCCAACAGTCACATGAAAAACTGTCCTTCAGTTTAAAAATTCCTTTAGGTTAATGTATAAAGTTATTCCTCTCCTTTCGTAGATCTGTGCGAGCGGCGAAAACGAGCGCGGTGGCTTCATCAGAGTAGCGAGTGGAAAAAAGAGAGGTTTTGTCCCCTGTGATGTCCTGGAGATCATCTGAGACAAAGAACCAGAGAACTGAGGACAAACGGGTAAGAAGAAGGAAGTGGGATCGGCCACTGGGACGCGAGTGGTGGAAGAGCCGACGGCGGGGGGGCGGAGTTCACCTTGTCACAGACTCGTTTAACAGGAGCAGTGATGGTTTGGACACCGATAACTCGTGCAGATCAGAGTCTCGAGACACAAACTGCTTACTGTTTGCACAGCAACAGGTGATCACTGTGTTTGTTATTGTTAATTTATATGGCTTTTCTGGGTTTTTTTTGTATAATTTATTTATCTACAAGTCATTTTCTTTATGGAAGGGCTGCTAACTGACTTAAATAAGCTTTAATAACATGAACAACCACTCTCTCAAGTCTTTTAGCTGCTTTTATACTTTTATATGTTCATAAAACTTTGGGTAATGCAAAGAGGAACAGCCAGTGTAGTTTTAATTGGGGAACTTGTCGTCCACGAGGGGTGATGGAAACACTACATTATATCACGACATAAGCATCTAATCCTCTAGTTATTCCTGAGCATCGTATCTGTCGGTGAGCTATGTGGATATTTGGAGTCCTGCACAACTCTGGAAAAGAGAAATAACAAATCAAATGGGCGTTTGCACGACTCATTAATGCATTCTAACAACTAAATGAGAAAAATAATCAAATATCTTACGTGTAACTTTCAAAATAAGTCAGAATATAGCTGTGCATGAAAACAGTTTTATGGTTTGTTATGATATTAGTAAAAGTTCAGTCTTTTCATTTCTTTTAAATCTACTTCTGAGGAGCCATTATTTTGCTTTTTGTTCTGTAATTATTTAGACTACTTGAACATTGGGGGAAAATTATCACTTTTTTTATTTTCTAAATTTCAACAAATATTTAATAAGTTTGCAAGATTTCTTTAAGAACGTCCAAATACTCATCTAAGCACATAACACTGTCTTTTAAAAACTTACAAAATAATTAAGAATCAGGTTTAAACACCCTTCAGTTAATAGTCACTAGGTCTAATGAAATCACTTTATTGGTACCAAAATACTGTTTTACATCCATAAAACTCTATAATCCCAGATTGTTGTAATCAGATAAGCAAGTGGAATTATACAAGCTATCATTAAATGTCCAAGAATATTATAAAATATGTTTTTGGCTAATTTGTCTGATTTTATATTGAGTTTTGTCATTGGTGGCTCTAGGGGCAGGACCACAGGGTCATTGGCCCCTGCTGAAATCTGATTGGCCAGCTGCATTACCCTTGCCCAGTCACTCATCTGTCTTTTGCACGATAATCAGATTATAGGTGGATGCAATTCCAAATCCAAGTACTAGAAGTGCAAATGAGCCAAATTGTAATTGTAATTATTGGCCTCTTAATAAATATTGTGGCCCCTTGATGGCCCCCATACTCGGAAAAATCCTAGATCCGTCACTGGGTTTTGTGCTTTATTGTACCTGAATGATTCATGTAAAAATGTTCTGTAGATTAACAAACAAGGATTCTTCCTCTGAAAAGGATCTGGGACCAGAAGTAACAAAAAGAAGAAAAACAACATTTTCAAAGAACATTTCAAAATAAAAGTATTTTGAAACAAGAGAAGAACAAGTCCTCAATACTAACTCATGACAAGAACATTTTGAAGCTTGAATTCAGAAATCAGAGCTGCGTAAATGAAAAATTACTTTTCTTTCACTTTATTTGACAAATTAGAACATTTTCAGTAAGTTAAATGTCTTTTACCTCTCAGGTCTTGTTTTGAAAAGATATTTTTATTGATTTAATAACTTTTTAAATGTTTTTTGTTTTTCTCAATAATTTAGGACACACCTACAGTATAAGCAGAACATACGGTTTTTCTTTTGTTTTGTGAAATAACAATAAATAGTTTATTCTTCCTGGTTTGGTTTGTAAACATAATTCATTTCTAGTTATGTTTAAAGGGATTGTTGGTTATTCTTATTTTGTTTTGATGGAGGAATTGTCTGATTAAGTTTGAAGTTTTTACAACATCAAAGTGCTTTATACAGTCCTGCACACAGAACATTTATAAGTATAAAAAAATGTCCCTTTAATTTTAACTACATGTTTTTTTTTTCACAGACGGCTCTAAACAATATTTCTTTGGATTGTGATGCAGTTCATTTATGGCAAGATAATGCTTGTTGTAGATAAATCTGTTAAAGATTGCTCTTTACTAGAACTTGGCTTTTTTTTCAGTGCCGATAAACGCTTTCTTGTACAAAAAAGATTCAAATTTTTGTCTTTGTTAGAAAGAAATTGCTGTGTGCAGTGATTATTTTTGTACTCCTAAATTGCTGTATCTCTGCATTTTTGTCAGCAAATAAAAGTTCATATTCCTTTTGCTTCTCGTCAGTTGTTATATTTATATTTGCTTTAATAAAAATGTCCAGAAAAAATATTTTAAAAAAGAACCCAATTTGTTTAATGATTTATTGAAAATCCGCTAAAATCAGTTGCGATAGTTTATATGTGTATGTTGCATAATAATCCTGAAATTGTATCTTTATTTTTTCTTCTCAACTCACATGACTGATTTATAAAAGATTAAACATTTCAGTAGGTTTAATTCCTCAATAAAAGTGTTAAAAATTTACATAGACAATGTGGTTAAAGTAAGAAAGCAGGAGAAAACTCTTTTTTGTTTGTTTCCAGCACACCTCCTGGATGTTTTAGATCATGAACACAGCTGATTTGTTTAATTTAGTCATGAACCGCTCCTGTAGACACTAAGGAAAGCTGGTAGACATTTCAACTGTTAGATTAGGGTGTTAAAAGGACGAACGCACAGCGAGGAGATAAGTTTTACTTTTGGTTCTACTAAATGGACACTAGGGGGTGGTAAAAGCAAGCCAACACTGCCTAGTTTCTCTTTAATTTTTTAATAATCTTTAATTTTTGCTTCACTTTCCTAAATTATCAGACTCTATAGTTCATGTTTTCTTGTTTTTTTAAACAAATGCCTCTAAATTAATGAAGCAGAAAATTCTTTATTGTATCTTTATTGTATTATCATCTTTTATACCTTTTAACACATTATTTTAGGAAAACCCAGCCCAATTCTTACACATTGCTCCTTTAAAGTGTTACAGACCCTTTAATGTTGCTTTAAGGTTCTATTTAATTATTCATGAGCCAAACACAAATCTACTAATGTTTTAGTGTATGAAAGGTGTGTGTATATAGATATGCGGTTCATATAGCTATATATTTAATGAATAAACAAACAAAAGCTGAAGTTGTTATTTTGAAAAAAAAAAAATTTTTAATAAATATATTTTAAGCTGCCAGGATTTATTTTTGTGTAATTATGATGCAACTTGTGTGCATGTCGGAGCAATCAGAAGAAAGTTAATTGAACGCCCTCAGCGGGTCAACACAGATGTTACAGCTGTCGAAGCACAGGAAACACACTTGGTTTGATTTGGAGAGCCCTTCCTGTCTTTGTCAGTGATGAATAATGCAGTCTACTTAAAGCATCAGTGTGTATTTTTCCTGGCAATAGGGGGCAGTAGATACCTAAGTCATTGCAAGCAAGCTGTATTTTTGTGTTGGAGTATGGCCTTACCAAGGGATGCCCATTAGGGTCAAAAAGCCATGGGGAGTGCAAACTTTAGCTAAATAACAAGCACATCAGACTCCCTTTTGCCACTGGCAACAAGTGAAGAGGTAAATGTGTAAAACAACATTTAAGAACGGGGGGAGCAGTGCGCTACCAACACTATCTATAGTGGGGACGGTGTGCAGCTGACCTCTACTCAGGACGTTGTGGATCGGAGGGCAGAATGCTTCGAAGACCTCTTCAATCCCACCGACACGTCTTCCAGTGAGGAAGCAGAGTCTGAGGACTTAGGCTTGGCCTCTCAAATCTCTGGTGCTGAGGTCACTGAAGTGGTCAAAAAGCTCCTCTGTGGCAAGGCTCCAGGGGTGGATGAGATCCACCCGGAGTTCCTTAAGGCTCTGGATGTTGTGGGGCTGTGTTGGCTAATGCGGCTCTACAATATCACGTGGACATCGGGGGCAATCCCACTGGACTGGCAGACCGGGGTGGTGGTGCCCTTATTTTAAAAGGGGGACCGCAGGGTGTGTTCCAACTACAGGGGGATCACACTCCTGAGCCTTCCTGGTAAGGTCTATTCAGGGGTTCATGTAGCAGACATATTGTTTACCTGTGCTTTATTTAGCACCGTCAAAATATGACTGTCTAGTCCCCGAGTTTGTTCTGCTTTCCGACAGCTATATCTGTTATATATTATTAACCACAAAGGCACTGCTGGGATTTGAACCCTGGATCTCCTGTTTACTAGACAGGCACTTTGACCAACTAATTATTCAGGGGTTCTGGAGAGGAGGGTCTGTCGGATTGCTGAACCTCAGATTCAGGAGGAGCAATGTGGTTTTTGTCCTGGCCGTGAAACACTGGACCAGCTCTACACCCTTAGGGGGATCCTGGAGGGTGCGTGGGAATTTGCCCAACCAGTCTACATGTATTTCGTGGATTTGGAGAAGGCGTTTGACTGCGTTCCTCGGGGGGCCCTGGGGGGGGGGGGGGGGGGGGGTCTCTGGGAGTATGGGGTACCAGGCCCTCTGGTACGGGCTGTTAGGTCCCTTTATGACCGGTGTCAGAGCTTGGTCCACATTGCAGTAAGTCGGGCTCGTTCCCAGTGAGAGTTGGACTCCGCCAAGGCTGCCCTTTGTCACCGATTCTGTTCATAACCTTTATGGACAGGATTTCTAGTGCAGCCAAGGTGTGGAGTTTTGGTGGCCTGAGGATCAGGTCTCTGCTTTTTGCATATGATGTGGTTCTGTTGGCTTCATCAGAACATGATCTTCAGCTTTCGCTGGAGCGGTTCGCAGCCGAGTGTGAAGCAGCTGGGATGAGAATCAGCTCCTCTAAATCTGAGACCATGGTCTTGATTCGGAAAAGGGTAGAATGCCTTCTCCGGGTCAGGGATGAGGTCCTGCCCCAAGTGGAGGAGTTTAAGTATCTCGGGGTCTTGTTCACGAGTGAGGGAAAACTGGAGCGTGAGATCGATAGGCGGATTGGTACTGCATCTGCAGCGATGCGGGTGTTGTACCGGTCTGTCGTGGTGGAGAGAGAGCTGAGTCAGAAGGCGAAGCTCTCGATTTACCGGTCGATCTACGTTCCTACCCTCACCTATGGTCATGAGCTTTGGGTAGTGACTGAAAGAACGAGATCGCGGATACAGGTGGCCGAAATGAGTTTTCTCCGAAGAGTAGCTGGGCTCTCCCTTAGAGATAGGGTGAGAAGCTCGGTCATTCGGGAGGGGCTCGGAGTAGACCCGCTGCTCCTCCACATCGAGAGGAGCCAGTTGAGGTGGTTCAGGCATCTGGTCAGGATGCCTCCTGGATGCCTCCCTGGTGAGGTTTTCCGGGCACGTCCAACCTGGAGGAGCTGGCCCAAATGGCTGGGGAGATGGAAGTATGGGCCTCTCGCCTTAGGCTACTGCCCCTGCGACCTGACTCTGGATAAGCGGATGAAAATGGATGGATGGATGGATGCTGCTTTGCCTAAAACATTCAGAGCATCAAATAATCATCCTAAAATGAACTAATTTCATTATAAAATACATATTTTCAGAAAAGGAGCTTGATCCATTTCCCCTGCAGCAATGACTTGTGGGTAATTCCCTTTCCCAAGGTCTGCGTCACTGCGGACTTGGGTGAAGTGCAGATATTAAAGGTGCAATGGGGGCGTGGTCAACTTCCACACTTGATAATCGGGACACCCTCGCACCCCTGGCCAGGAACACGCAAATGATGGGTGCGAGGGAGGGTGCAAGTGCGAGTATTGAGACTGGGCCATAAGACCCGCTCCCATGTATTTAAGACCTGATTTTTATGGTTATATGTTATGAAGCCGCCAATATTTTTCAACAACTGGACATCATTTAATTCATTTTCAACAACATTTTGATGGATATTTCAAGAAATCAATGGTAAAAACTACACATTGTCTCTTTAAAGTGTGACATCCAAAATATAAACACCAGACAGTTAAAATTTTCAGAAAAAAATGCAACTGTCTTGGATTTTCCTGCATTTATTTACATAAATTATTTTGCACAAGACTTTAAGACGCAAAAGTCGTCAGCATGCATAACAAAGGTGATATTTCTGGGTAAATGAGACGTCTTCGGGTCATGAATGTTGCATATGAGCTACATAATACTTAATAAAATATGCCGACTGAAAAAAACTAAAGGCAGAATTTTTGTTTTTCCAGGGAGAATCTTAGCTGAGGAAATTCAGGGCTGTGAGAATCTGGCTCAGTCCTGCATCTTTGACACTCGAAACCTCCTGTGACCTGAGTTCTATCTTTTGTTGCATGAGTCATGATCAGTGTATTTCTGTTAAGCGAGCAACACAATTTTTTATTATTAATATTAAAACTGAAACCAGTGTTAAGACAAAAGAAACCTTTCTTGAAGCAGAGTGCAAACATTTACCATCAGTTAAACCACAGATATGAGAAAACCACAAACACCCAAAGCTCAGAACAATTTCACACGATCAACAATATATTTTTAATACAGTTTAGCTTTCTTTAGGGCGGTGCAATGGGTAGAGCTGTTGCCTTGCAGCAAGGAAGTGCTGGATTCACACCCGGGCCTGGGTCTCTGTGCAGGGATTTTGTATGCTGTCCCTGTTCACACATGGGTTGCCTCCGGGTATTCCGGCTTCCTCCCACAGTCCAAAAACATGTTGATCGGTCTCTAAATTGTCCTTAGGTGTGTGTGTGTGTGTGTGGGTGTTTGTTCTGTGTGTCTCAGTGTTGGCAATCTGTCCGTGGTGTACCCCACCTGTTTGCCCAATGACCACTGGAGATAGGCACCAGCCCCCCACGACCCGGTGTGGATAAGGAAAATGGATGGATGGATAGTTTTCTATTGGCTCTTTGATGTTTTTTCTTTATTTTAAATCAATTAAATTCATATTCAGCCTTTAGTTCTGACACTTCATCTTTTGTACGTCTCTCATTTTTTAGTGTAAAATAAAGTTGTTTAGATCCCGGAACTGGACAGAAAATGAATGAAAACGCAGACAAAGAGTGCAGAAAAGGTTGAAATTCCTTCAAAAGTTCAATGAAAAATCAATCAAGACAAAATTTCAAAATAGGGCTCAAGGGAAAGAAAAAGGGAAGGGAAGGAAAAATGCAAAGCAACGATGGTCGACTCGGGCATCTAAGTTTGTAAAAAGATGCAACACTGCTAATTAAAATAAAAAAGTAACCATGACTCCTCTTCATCTTACCAAAAGAAAAGCTGATATAATTTTCTTCTCTGTCTTTATTTTGTGAGTTTCTGAGTCATGAGCGTGTCT